GTGAGTGAGTGAGTGAGTGAGAGTGTGTGTGTGTGTGTGCGTGCGCGCGAAGCACCGCACCAGACCAAATATCCCTAAGCAAATACCTCAACCAACCAAAACCCACTTTTTTGTATAGGTTCTTTTTTTCAACCTTAATATGGGATTTATAGGGACCCTACAAAAAAGGTAGGTTCTGGTGGGAAAAGGAACCAAATCTCGATTTGTCGACGGCTGTCCTATCGTGGCCGACAGCACGCGACATGTGCACTTCACAGGAGTAGCCCTAGGCTCCATAGTAGTTCCTTTTGGGGGGTTACCTTATAGGATTCGAAATATGAACCACAAAAAGGAACTACGATGGATCCGATGGGTAGCACTTCAGAAGCCTCGTGAATCGCACTTCAGGAGCTTGTTGGATTCAGCACCTCACATCTGCGAAGCTCCAAGATGTATATCGCCTCGAAACCAATCAAGGGATGTGTAGTCGAGAGATGTCGAGACCCTCTCTTTTTTGTTTAATGTCGGAGCCCAGACCCGAAATGCGCAGACCTAACGAAACATCCGTGTAGGCGCTTGGGGGAGAAGCAACTTCGATGCAGCGATCAGTGTTATACCGTTCCTCGGTAGTTGAGTGCAGACCCGAGCTTTGCAAACGAAACACCTCCATGCCTTGAGCCTGAAAGAGTCTGCCGACTCATCCGATAGCGCATCTGGCCATGCGTCTGCGGCCACCTTCAAAGAAGGCTGAACAAGTTAAGGGTGCGTAAAGATCCCGCACATACGGCTATCTCAACCAAGAGCCCAGAGACAGCGGGGTCCCAAATCATTTGCGCTCGACTCTCACCCACGCATCCGAGCAACGTTTTCAGTCTTAGTGCTTCCTTTCGGTGCATCTTGGGGTGTAGGATTTGTTTTCTTGTTAAACCCCCTAAACCTGATCATTCAATATCCTATAAACCGGCCTCGGACGTAGACAGAGACAGCGATGACTTTTGGAAAACGCATCTGCCCAGACCCTCCAGATCTACCTTCTGTTAGACCCTGCATACGTCCTATTTGGGGCCATACATACCCCAATAATTACGGGTACTTAAAGGGCCAGGTGGTGTCTGGTTACCTTGGAATCTCTGGTAGGTCAGTGCGAACGAGACTTCCCTAGATCATCCCGAGGCCTGCCTTTCCCCAAAATACGGTTGATGATATGAATCCTGCATTACCTTACGGATCCTAAACTATGGGAATTATGGTATATTCCCTAGTATGGGTACTCCAGGATTTATATCATCAACAGTAGGTGTTTGGGGAACAAGCCGGAAGCCATGGAGGGTTGCCCCTATAAACCCTAAACCCTACCCTAAGGGTCCATGTAGCCAAATAGATATACATAGGCCCCAACTACATTAAGGCCAAAGTATCTCTATTTGGATACATGGACGCTTAGGGCTATATAACTTTAAACTCACCACCTCCGAACTCCCAAGCTCCTCCTTGATGCTATAAGGCGCTCACGCCGGCCCAGACTAGCAAGAATCTTGAAACCCTGTACCTAAACCCCCAAAAATAGGTAAAATAATGGCCCAAAGCCCATAAAAGGCTATTATTCTACATGCTTTTGGGGTCCAGGTAAGCCCTA